GTGAAGATCTGAAGCAAGGATTCAGTCATGGGGAACGGGCACACGTGGCAACAGCTACACGATAACGTGAATGGAAGAGAGCTCATCGGATGTAGGCGCGAGAGAGATGGTACATCGACTGAATCCAAGTGGCAAACGATCGATAGTCCATGGCATGAGATCTCTTGGATGGTCACTAGCGACCACTTTCAGGCAGCAGTCCATTTTCTAGGAATAGAAGCTTGTTGAAGTCGAGGTATCTTAGCTCACTATGGCTAACATTTCAGCACGATGATCAGGGCGGCTTTGGTGAAGTGTGACAGTGGATGGTTTCATGCGGAGGCGGTTGCGAATTGTGTGTGTGTGCGGTAAGAAGAGAGCAGAAGGCGAGTGGTACTGGGAATGTTGTGTAGTGGTGTTGTTATAATCGTTCTTCTGCCTGTGCGGTCGTCGGTGTCGTCTAGTGGTTGACCGTGAGCTTCACACGCTCAAGATCGAGGGTTCGATCCCCTCCTCCGATATTTGATTTCTTGCTGGACCATTCATCTGCTCTTTTCTGATTAAATGAGCTCCACTCTGGCCAGATTCGATGGCTACACTGGCGGTGACCACAGCGGGAAACATCGAAACTCTGTGTCCAAGGTAAACAAGGATCACCGTCTTGTTCGCAAGCTGAGATTAATCTGGTATGCGTGAGACACCCACTGGATGGTATGACATTGCCATCTTACGCGGAGGTTTACGTGCGGTATGAGCAACGGTAAAGGCGTGCGGTGGACGACTGTATGTAGCTCGGATGGTGTTCGTGTCATGTACATCGCGACTAATGTGTTAGTCGACAGGTGTTGCTGCGGGGCAACGTGGTGACATATCTCAGCAATGGACGTTCAAGCGGCTTATCCGAGCGGTTGAAGCGACAGCTCAAAATCTGGTGGGGTAACCCGCGTGAGTTCAAGTCTCACAGCCGTCGATGTCATTGCTAACGACAGTTGCCACACAAAACCCCCTTCAGACATTGCTTTGGATAGCAGCGCTTTGTTACAACATGAACGCCTTGACCCTGTCGATGCATCTGTAAGAAAGAGAGCCCATGGAGGCAATGTAATAAGGTGGTGTCAGCTCATGATACCATCATCTGTAGGCGACGACAAACCGTTTGAATAGTTCGACCAACTGGTTCAGAGGGCCCAGAACCGCATGTGGCGATTGTTGAAGCCGGTACGCATAACTAAAGCTTGCAGAATTTCAAAATGCGATTTGGGGATGATTGGACTGCGAGGACAGCTCGGCCGAGTGGTTAAGGCGACAGACTAGAAATCTATTGGGGCGACCCGCGTGAGTCCAAATCTGGCAGCTGTCGGATACATTTATTCGTGCAGGGCGCTTATACACCACTCACAGACATCTGGCGTCTACGCACGATGCTTTGTCTTGCCTGCCAAGATCACGGTACTGAAGATGGGTGTGTCTTGCTCACAGTCTCATCACTTGAAGCCATTTCCTGATATCCACCTGTATTCGGGCGCTCAATACCCGCACCGATACCCTTGGTTCCAGCCCAGTAATCAGACTGGATGTGCATGCCATCCACTGGGTGAAGATCTGAAGCAAGGATTCAGTCATGGGGAACGGGCACACGTGGCAACAGCTACACGATAACGTGAATGGAAGAGAGCTCATCGGATGTAGGCGCGAGAGAGATGGTACATCGACTGAATCCAAGTGACAAACGATCGATAGTCCATGGTATGAGATCTCTTGGATGGTCACTAGCGACCACTTTCAGGCAGCAGTCCATTTTCTAGGAATAGAAGCTTGTTGAAGTCGAGGTATCTTAGCTCACTATGGCTAAGATTTCAGCACGATGATCAGGGCGGCTTTGGTGAAGTGTGACAGTGGCTGGTTTCATGAGGAGGCGGTTGCGAATTGTGTGTGTGTGTGCGGTAAGAAGAGAGCGGAAGGCGAGTGGTTATTGGGAAATGTTGTGTAGCGGTGTTGTTATAATCGTTCTTCTGCCTGTGCGGTCGTCGGTGTCGTCTAGTGGTTAGGACGCGAGCTTCACACGCTCGAGATCGAGGGTTCGATCCCCTCCTCTGATATTTGATTTCTTGCTGGACCATTCATCTGCTCTTTTCTGATTAAATGAGCTCCACTCTGGCCAGATTCGATGGCTACACTGGCGGTGACCACAGCGGGAAATATCGAAACTCTGTGTCCAAGGTAAACAAGGATCACCGTCTTGTTCGCAAGCTGAGATTAATCTGGTATGCGTGAGACACCCACTGGATGGTATGACATTGCCATCTTACGCGGAGGTTTACGTGCGGTACGAGCAACGGTAAAGGCGTGCGGTGGACGACTGTATGTAGCTCGGATGGTGTTCGTGTCATGTACATCGCGACTAATGTGTCAGTCGACAGGTGTTGCTGCGGGGCAACGTGGTGACATATCTCAGCAGTGGACGTTCAAGACAGCTTATCCGAGCGGCTAAAGCGACAGCTCAAAATCTGGTGGGGTAACCCGCGTGGGTTCAAGTCTCACAGCCGTCGATGTCATTGCTAACGACAGTTGCCACACAGCAACCCCCTTCAGACATTGCTTTGGATAGCAGCGCTTTGTTACAACATGAACGCCTTGACCCTGTCGATGCATCTGTAAGAAAGAGAGCCCATGGAGGCAATGTAATAAGGTGGTGTCAGCTCATGATACCATCATTTGTAGGCGACGACAAAACGTTTGAATAGTTCGACCAACTGGTTCAGAGGGCCCAGAACCGCATGTGGCGATTGTTGAAGCCGGTACGCATAACTAAAGCTTGCAGAATTTCAAAATGCGATTTGGGGATGATTGGACTGCGAGGACAGCTCGGCCGAGTGGTTAAGGCGACAGACTAGAAATCTATTGGGGCGACCCGCGTGAGTCCAAATCTGGCAGCTGTCGGATACATTTATTCGTGCAGGGCGCTTATACACCACTCACAGACATCTGGCGTCTACGCACGATGCTTTGTCTTGCCTGCCAAGATCACGGTACTGAAGATGGGTGTGTCTTGCTCACAGTCTCATCACTTGAAGCCATTTCCTGATATCCACCTGTATTCGGGCGCTCAATACCCGCACCGATACCCTTGGTTCCAGCCCAGTAATCAGACTGGATGTGCATGCCATCCACTGGGTGAAGATCTGAAGCAAGGATTCAGTCATGGGGAACGGGCACACGTGGCAACAGCTACACGATAACGTGAATGGAAGAGAGCTCATCGTGTGTAGGCGCGAGAGAGATGGTACATCGACTGAATCCAAGTGGCAAACGATCGATAGTCCATGGTATGAGATCTCTTGGATGGTCACTAGCGACCACTTTCAGGCAGCAGTCCATTTTCTAGGAATAGAAGCTTGTTGAAGTCGAGGTATCTTAGCTCACTATGGCTAACATTTCAGCACGATGATCAGGGCGGCTTTGGTGAAGTGTGACAGTGGATGGTTTCATGCGGAGGCGGTTGCGAATTGTGTGTGTGTGTGCGGTAAGAAGAGAGCGGAAGGCGAGTGGTACTGGGAATGTTGTGTAGTGGTGTTGTTATAATCGTTCTTCTGCCTGTGCGGTCGTCGGTGTCGTCTAGTGGTTGACCGTGAACTTTACACGCTCAAGATCGAGGGTTCGATCCCCTCCTCCGATATTTGATTTCTTGCTGGACCATTCATCTGCTCTTTTCTGATTAAATGAGCTCCACTCTGGCCAGATTCGATGGCTACACTGGCGGTGACCACAGCGGGAAATATCGAAACTCTGTGTCCAAGGTAAACAAGGATCACCGTCTTGTTCGCAAGCTGAGATTAATCTGGTATGCGTGAGACACCCACTGGATGGTATGACATTGCCATCTTACGCGGAGGTTTACGTGCGGTACGAGCAACGGTAAAGGCGTGCGGTGGACGACTGTATGTAGCTCGGATGGTGTTCGTGTCATGTACATCGCGACTAATGTGTTAGTCGACAGGTGTTGCTGCGGGGCAACGTGGTGACATATCTCAGCAGTGGACGTTCAAGACAGCTTATCCGAGCGGCTAAAGCGACAGCTCAAAATCTGGTGGGGTAACCCGCGTGGGTTCAAGTCTCACAGCCGTCGATGTCATTGCTAACGACAGTTGCCACACAGCAAACCCCTTCAGACATTGCTTTGGATAGCAGCGCTTTGTTACAACATGAACGCCTTGACCCTGTCGATGCATCTGTAAGAAAGAGAGCCCATGGAGGCAATGTAATAAGGTGGTGTCAGCTCATGATACCATCATTTGTAGGCGACGACAAAACGTTTGAATAGTTCGACCAACTGGTTCAGAGGGCCCAGAACCGCATGTGGCGATTGTTGAAGCCGGTACGCATAACTAAAGCTTGCAGAATTTCAAAATGCGATTTGGGGATGATTGGACTGCGAGGACAGCTCGGCCGAGTGGTTAAGGCGATAGACTAGAAATCTATTGGGGCGACCCGCGTGAGTCCAAATCTGGCAGCTGTCGGATACATTTATTCGTGCAGGGTGTTTATACACCACTCACAGACATCTGGCGTCTACGCACGATGCTTTGTCTTGCCTGTTAAGATCACGGTATTGAAGATGGGTGTGTCTTGCTCACAGTCTCATCACTTGAAGCCCTTTCCTGATATCCACCTGTATTCGGGCGCTCAATACCCGCACCGATACCCTTGGTTCCAGCCCAGTAATCAGACTGGATGTGCATGCCATCCACTGGGTGAAGATCTGAAGCAAGGATTCAGTCATGGGGAACGGGCACACGTGGCAACAGCTACACGATAACATGAATGGAAGAGAGCTCATCGTGTGTAGGCGCGAGAGAGATGGTACATCGACTGAATCCAAGTGGCAAACGATCGATAGTCCATGGTATGAGATCTCTTGGATGGTCACTAGCGACCACTTTCAGGCAGCAGTCCATTTTCTAGGAATAGAAGCTTGTTGAAGTCGAGGTATCTTAGCTCACTATGGCTAACATTTCAGCACGATGATCAGGGCGGCTTTGGTGAAGTGTGACAGTGGATGGTTTCATGCGGAGGCGGTTGCGAATTGTGTGTGTGTGTGCGGTAAGAAGAGAGCGGAAGGCGAGTGGTTATTGGGAAATGTTGTGTAGTGGTGTTGTTATAATCGTTCTTCTGCCTGTGCGGTCGTCGGTGTCGTCTAGTGGTTGACCGTGAACTTTACACGCTCAAGATCGAGGGTTCGATCCCCTCCTCCGATATTTGATTTCTTGCTGGACCATTCATCTGCTCTTTTCTGATTAAATGAGCTCCACTCTGGCCAGATTCGATGGCTACACTGGCGGTGACCACAGCGGGAAATATCGAAACTCTGTGTCCAAGGTAAACAAGGATCACCGTCTTGTTCGCAAGCTGAGATTAATCTGGTATGCGTGAGACACCCACTGGATGGTATGACATTGCCATCTTACGCGGAGGTTTACGTGCGGTACGAGCAACGGTAAAGGCGTGCGGTGGACGACTGTATGTAGCTCGGATGGTGTTCGTGTCATGTACATCGCGACTAATGTGTCAGTCGACAGGTGTTGCTGCGGGGCAACGTGGTGACATATCTCAGCAGTGGACGTTCAAGACAGCTTATCCGAGCGGCTAAAGCGACAGCTCAAAATCTGGTGGGGTAACCCGCGTGGGTTCAAGTCTCACAGCCGTCGATGTCATTGCTAACGACAGTTGCCACACAGCAAACCCCTTCAGACATTGCTTTGTATAGCAGCGCTTTGTTACAACATGAACGCCTTGACCCTGTCGATGCATCTGTAAGAAAGAGAGCCCATGGAGGCAATGTAATAAGGTGGTGTCAGCTCATGATACCATCATTTGTAGGCGACGACAAAACGTTTGAATAGTTCGACCAACTGGTTCAGAGGGCCCAGAACCGCATGTGGCGATTGTTGAAGCCGGTACGCATAACTAAAGCTTGCAGAATTTCAAAATGCGATTTGGGGATGATTGGACTGCGAGGACAGCTCGGCCGAGTGGTTAAGGCGACAGACTAGAAATCTATTGGGGCGACCCGCGTGAGTCCAAATCTGGCAGCTGTCGGATACATTTATTCGTGCAGGGCGCTTATACACCACTCACAGACATCTGGCGTCTACGCACGATGCTTTGTCTTGCCTGCCAAGATCACGGTACTGAAGATGGGTGTGTCTTGCTCACAGTCTCATCACTTGAAGCCCTTTCCTGATATCCACCTGTATTCGGGCGCTCAATACCCGCACCGATACCCTTGGTTCCAGCCCAGTAATCAGACTGGATGTGCATGCCATCCACTGGGTGAAGATCTGAAGCAAGGATTCAGTCATGGGGAACGGGCACACGTGGCAACAGCTACACGATAACGTGAATGGAAGAGAGCTCATCGGATGTAGGCGCGAGAGAGATGGTACATCGACTGAATCCAAGTGGCAAACGATCGATAGTCCATGGCATGAGATCTCTTGGATGGTCACTAGCGACCACTTTCAGGCAGCAGTCCATTTTCTAGGAATAGAAGCTTGTTGAAGTCGAGGTATCTTAGCTCACTATGGCTAACATTTCAGCACGATGATCAGGGCGGCTTTGGTGAAGTGTGACAGTGGCTGGTTTCATGAGGAGGCGGTTGCGAATTGTGTGTGTGTGTGCGGTAAGAAGAGAGCGGAAGGCGAGTGGTTATTGGGAAATGTTGTGTAGTGGTGTTGTTATAATCGTTCTTCTGCCTGTGCGGTCGTCGGTGTCGTCTAGTGGTTAGGACGCGAGCTTCACACGCTCGAGATCGAGGGTTCGATCCCCTCCTCTGATATTTGATTTCTTGCTGGACCATTCATCTGCTCTTTTCTGATTAAATGAGCTCCACTCTGGCCAGATTCGATGGCTACACTGGCGGTGACCACAGCGGGAAATATCGAAACTCTGTGTCCAAGGTAAACAAGGATCACCGTCTTGTTCGCAAGCTGAGATTAATCTGGTATGCGTGAGACACCCACTGGATGGTATGACATTGCCATCTTACGCGGAGGTTTACGTGCGGTACGAGCAACGGTAAAGGCGTGCGGTGGACGACTGTATGTAGCTCGGATGGTGTTCGTGTCATGTACATCGCGACTAATGTGTCAGTCGACAGGTGTTGCTGCGGGGCAACGTGGTGACATATCTCAGCAGTGGACGTTCAAGACAGCTTATCCGAGCGGCTAAAGCGACAGCTCAAAATCTGGTGGGGTAACCCGCGTGGGTTCAAGTCTCACAGCCGTCGATGTCATTGCTAACGACAGTTGCCACACAGCAAACCCCTTCAGACATTGCTTTGGATAGCAGCGCTTTGTTACAACATGAACGCCTTGACCCTGTCGATGCATCTGTAAGAAAGAGAGCCCATGGAGGCAATGTAATAATGTGGTGTCAGCTCATGATACCATCATCTGTAGGCGACGACAAACCGTTTGAATAGTTCGACCAACTGGTTCAGAGGGCCCAGAACCGCATGTGGCGATTGTTGAAGCCTGATGTATTACTAAAGCTTGCAGAATTTCAAAATGCGATTTGGGGATGATTGGACTGCGAGGACAGCTCGGCCGAGTGGTTAAGGCGACAGACTAGAAATCTATTGGGGCGACCCGCGTGAGTCCAAATCTGGCAGCTGTCGGATACATTTATTCGTGCAGGGTGTTTATACACCACTCACAGACATCTGGCGTCTACGCACGATGCTTTGTCTTGCCTGCCAAGATCACGGTACTGAAGATGGGTGTGTCTTGCTCACAGTCTCATCACTTGAAACCCTTTCCTGATATCCACCTGTATTCGGGCGCTCAATACCCGCACCGATACCCTTGGTTCCAGCCCAGTAATCAGACTGGATGTGCATGCCATCCACTGGGTGAAGATCTGAAGCAAGGATTCAGTCATGGGGAACGGGCACACGTGGCAACAGCTACACGATAACGTGAATGGAAGAGAGCTCATCGTGTGTAGGCGCGAGAGAGATGGTACATCGACTGAATCCAAGTGGCAAACGATCGATAGTCCATGGTATGAGATCTCTTGGATGGTCACTAGCGACCACTTTCAGGCAGCAGTCCATTTTCTAGGAATAGAAGCTTGTTGAAGTCGAGGTATCTTAGCTCACTATGGCTAAGATTTCAGCACGATGATCAGGGCGGCTTTGGTGAAGTGTGACAGTGGCTGGTTTCATGCGGAGGCGGTTGCGAATTGTGTGTGTGTGTGCGGTAAGAAGAGAGCGGAAGGCGAGTGGTACTGGGAATGTTGTGTAGTGGTGTTGTTATAATCGTTCTTCTGCCTGTGCGGTCGTCGGTGTCGTCTAGTGGTTGACCGTGAGCTTCACACGCTCAAGATCGAGGGTTCGATCCCCTCCTCCGATATTTGATTTCTTGCTGGACCATTCATCTGCTCTTTTCTGATTAAATGAGCTCCACTCTGGCCAGATTCGATGGCTACACTGGCGGTGACCACAGCGGGAAACATCGAAACTCTGTGTCCAAGGTAAACAAGGATCACCGTCTTGTTCGCAAGCTGAGATTAATCTGGTATGCGTGAGACACCCACTGGATGGTATGACATTGCCATCTTACGCGGAGGTTTACGTGCGGTATGAGCAACGGTAAAGGCGTGCGGTGGACGACTGTATGTAGCTCGGATGGTGTTCGTGTCATGTACATCGCGACTAATGTGTTAGTCGACAGGTGTTGCTGCGGGGCAACGTGGTGACATATCTCAGCAATGGACGTTCAAGACGGCTTATCCGAGCGGTTGAAGCGACAGCTCAAAATCTGGTGGGGTAACCCGCGTGAGTTCAAGTCTCACAGCCGTCGATGTCATTGCTAACGACAGTTGCCACACAGCAAACCCCTTCAGACATTGCTTTGGATAGCAGCGCTTTGTTACAACATGAACGCCTTGACCCTGTCGATGCATCTGTAAGAAAGAGAGCCCATGGAGGCAATGTAATAATGTGGTGTCAGCTCATGATACCATCATCTGTAGGCGACGACAAACCGTTTGAATAGTTCGACCAACTGGTTCAGAGGGCCCAGAACCGCATGTGGCGATTGTTGAAGCCTGATGTATTACTAAAGCTTGCAGAATTTCAAAATGCGATTTGGGGATGATTGGACTGCGAGGACAGCTCGGCCGAGTGGTTAAGGCGACAGACTAGAAATCTATTGGGGCGACCCGCGTGAGTCCAAATCTGGCAGCTGTCGGATACATTTATTCGTGCAGGGTGTTTATACACCACTCACAGACATCTGGCGTCTACGCACGATGCTTTGTCTTGCCTGCCAAGATCACGGTACTGAAGATGGGTGTGTCTTGCTCACAGTCTCATCACTTGAAACCCTTTCCTGATATCCACCTGTATTCGGGCGCTCAATACCCGCACCGATACCCTTGGTTCCAGCCCAGTAATCAGACTGGATGTGCATGCCATCCACTGGGTGAAGATCTGAAGCAAGGATTCAGTCATGGGGAACGGGCACACGTGGCAACAGCTACACGATAACGTGAATGGAAGAGAGCTCATCGTGTGTAGGCGCGAGAGAGATGGTACATCGACTGAATCCAAGTGGCAAACGATCGATAGTCCATGGTATGAGATCTCTTGGATGGTCACTAGCGACCACTTTCAGGCAGCAGTCCATTTTCTAGGAATAGAAGCTTGTTGAAGTCGAGGTATCTTAGCTCACTATGGCTAAGATTTCAGCACGATGATCAGGGCGGCTTTGGTGAAGTGTGACAGTGGCTGGTTTCATGCGGAGGCGGTTGCGAATTGTGTGTGTGTGTGCGGTAAGAAGAGAGCGGAAGGCGAGTGGTACTGGGAATGTTGTGTAGTGGTGTTGTTATAATCGTTCTTCTGCCTGTGCGGTCGTCGGTGTCGTCTAGTGGTTGACCGTGAGCTTCACACGCTCAAGATCGAGGGTTCGATCCCCTCCTCCGATATTTGATTTCTTGCTGGACCATTCATCTGCTCTTTTCTGATTAAATGAGCTCCACTCTGGCCAGATTCGATGGCTACACTGGCGGTGACCACAGCGGGAAATATCGAAACTCTGTGTCCAAGGTAAACAAGGATCACCGTCTTGTTCGCAAGCTGAGATTAATCTGGTATGCGTGAGACACCCACTGGATGGTATGACATTGCCATCTTACGCGGAGGTTTACGTGCGGTATGAGCAACGGTAAAGGCGTGCGGTGGACGACTGTATGTAGCTC